AATTCCCGGTCAGGGCATATGCCTGGTTTGTGGTCTTGATCCCCAGTGTGGGGCATGCAGGAGGCAGCAGATCAGTAATCCTCTCTCATCATTGATGTTTCTCTCTCTCTCCCCCCTTCTCCCTTCCTCTCTGAAATCAATAAAATTGTTTTTTTAAATAAGGCAGACTTGGTCCCTGATGGTGAAGCTTACAATCTAGCAGGAACAAGAAATACTGAGTAGGTAGTTTTCAGTGTGATGGGTCTGCAATGGGACCAGCAGGGTGGTACAAGAGGATATTAGTAGGGAGTCCAATGTAGCCTGAATGTGCAGGAAAGGCTCCCATGAAGAAATGCTAAGTGAAGACCTGAAAGGTTGGTGGTTGCTAGCCAGAGGGGATGGGGAGGTGGTCTAGGCAGAAGAAATGGCATGTGCAATGGCCTGTGCAATGGCCTGTGGCTGGGAAGAACCTGCCCTATTTAAGGAACCAAAAGAAATCCAGAATAGCTGGAACACAGACCAGTCTTGGGGAAGTGGAAAGAGAGGGATCTGGAGAATAGGCAAGGGTCAGACTGGGGAGGAACACAGGCCATGTGAAAGAATCTAAACATTAGCCCAAGGACAATAGGAAACGATCAGTTTCCTCATCTGTAAAGTGAGCATAATAGCTATCTCATAGGATTATCAGGAAACAAAACAAGAATACAAGTGAAAGGTCTTTGTAATCTTTAAAACATGACAGGGCCCTGGACAGTGTGGCTCAGTTGGTTGGGCGTTGTCCTATGTACCAGGAAGTTTGTTCATTTGATTTGAGGTCAAGGGCACATGGCTGGGTTGTGGCCTAGATCCCCAGTAGGGGGTGTGCAGGAGGCAGCACCAATGTTGTGCTCTCACACCAATGTTTCTCTCCCTCTCCCTTCTTCTCTCTCTAAAAGTCAATAATTTAAAACAATGATAGCAATACTACTAACATTATAATATTAGCAGTAATTATAAACTATGCTGCCTTCTTAAGTAATGGAAGTCGTAGTTCAGATCTCCTACATGGGAATATGAAAGTCTATAAAACCCTGACTTACTCAAGGGAGCTGATGGAAAGGTCAGAAGTTTGCTTCAGTCGAAACTTCCAGTGTGAAGTTCATGAAGCCGAGGGGTGAGCTCAGCTGTTTGGAGCAGCCTCACCCCATGTATGGCCATGTGTATTTCTCAATCCACACTGACTTCCAACACCACTTCCAGAAAAGATCAGTGTTCTGCCTCCTCCTCGGGCCCCTCCTGCCCCCGCCAGCAGAACCACTGAGACATTCTTTCCTCTTGCTTCCTTCCAGCCAGAGCTTAGGCCCGGCATCTCTGCGACGTCAGCTTTTGTAGAAGCTGCCATCATTCCAAACACATTACACTCCTCTGAATTGTGGGTGGAAAAACAGTTATCCCGGTTCGCACCTGCATTACATTTTTTTAGGAAAAATGCAAGACCTTTACAAATATGTGACAGTTTAATCTTACAATGATTCTGTGAAGTAGGCTCAACCAAATCTCAGAATGGATGAAGGATTGGACCAGCATTGCTATACTACCAAGGAGAACTTGGATCATTTTGGCCACTTCCACTCTGCCTGCAACGCATTAAACATTACCTGAGTACAGAAGGGCAGAGCTTTGGCAGGTGTAGGCATTTGATTGCACTGCATCACCACAACCCTCTTCCCAGCTCTGGTCAAACAAGCCAGGCACGCCTCCTCCCCAGAGGTCACTGACGACCACAAATGCTTCACATTGCTGCACACCAGACGTTACAAACTTGCTTTTATTTTTTATTTTTTTAAATCTATGCATTGCTGTTAAAATCTTTTTGAAAATTTAAATCCAGTTTTTTAAAATCAAGATATTTCACAGAAAAATCCAGGTTTCCAACTTGAGGAAAATCAGATCTGGCTTTTAAAAATGTCTGGAGGTAGTGGGTGGGGGTGGCCGGGGAGAGGTCAATGGGGGGAAAGGAGGCTTATGTGACTTTAAACAATAAAACATTTAAATTAAAAAAAAATGTCTGGAGGTGACCAGCGCATTATGCCACAGTCACTACTCTGCCTGGATGGATCCTTTGTCAAGTTCACGTGACCGGCCTAGAATATCTTGAATTTGTATCCTTTACCCATGTGGACCAAATCTTATGAATACTGTGTCCCCTCCTTTGTGACCTTTTCACATGGATAGGGCTTACTCTGTTTGAATGTAACTTTGGGACGTTAGGAGACCTTTGTGTAGATGAGAAAACAAGGCCACTCAGTCCTTCTCTGATGGATCTAAGTCTATTTGCAGCTACTTCTCAAGGGTAAAGGTGAAAAGATTTATTCCAGCGAAGACTTCTGTTAGGTTACTCCTTTCTTTCCATTGTCGCCTCTGTTCCCTTCTGGCCCCTTTATTCAGTAATTCAAGATTCCAAACATTTTAAAAATATCGATGAAGGTGCCGGGATAGTGGCCTCAAATCATTTTTAGAATTATTTTTTAAATCCTCACCCGAGGACATGCTTAGAGAGATGAAGGGAGAGAGAAACATCAATCGACTGGTTGCCTTCCATATGCTCCCGGACTGGGGATCAAACCAACAACCCAGGCATGTGCCCTGACCAGGAATTGAACTGGCAATCTTTCGGTGCCCAATGCTCAACCAATTCAACCACTCCAACAGGGGCTCATTTTTAGAATTAGATGGAGAATTTAAATCCCACTTGTGGGTATATACCCAAAGGAATTGAAAGCAGTATCTCAAGGATCCTACTCACAGCACTATTATTCACAATAGTCAAAAGGTGGAAGCAACCTGTGTCCGTTGACAAATGAATGGATAAACAAAATGTGGTACATATGTACAATGGACTATTATTCAGCCTTAAAATGGAAGGAAATTCTGACACATGCTACAACATGAATGAACCTTGAGGACATTTATGCTCAGTGAAATAAGGCAATCACAAAAAGACATACTCTTTGATTTATCTTATATAAGGTACCTAGACTATTCAAATTTATAGACACAGAAGTAGAATGGAGATTGCCAGAGGCTGGGGTGAGGGAGAAATGGGGAGGTTTTTTTTAATTATTTATTTTAGAGAGAGAGAGGAAGGGAGAGGGATAGAGAGACAGAAACATTGATTGGCTGCCTCTTGCATGTCCCCCACTGGGGACCAAGCCCACAACCCCCACACGTGCCCTGGCTGAGAATAGAACTGGTGACCTCTTGGTTCATGGGTCGACACTCAACCACTGAGCCACTCAGGCCGGGCCGGGAGTTGTTTAATATATAGAGTTTTCAATTTTGCAAAATGAAAAAGTTCTGAAATAGCCAATAATATGGTAATGACTATGTATGGTGCCGGATGGGTATTGGATTTATTAAGTATCATAAGTTATGTGGGTTTCTATTCACTGAGTTGTACACCTGAAGCTAATATATTGTATGTCAACTGTAATTTAAAAATAAAAAATTATTTAAAAAAATAACAAAAAAATTAAATGTTCTGGAGATCTGTTGCACAATAATGTGAACATACTTAACACAGTTCATTAGAACTATATACTTAAAAACAGTTAAAATGGTAATTTTTTAAACTTCCATTAAGACATAAAAATGTGCCCTGACCAGGTGGCTCAGTTGGTTGGAGCATTGTCCATACACCAAAAGGTGTGGGTTCAATTCCTGGTCAGGGCACATACCTAGGTTTCAGGTTCAATCCCCAGGTGGGGTGCATACAGGAGGCAACTGATGGATATTCTCTCTCACATCGATGTTTCTCTCTTTCTCCACCTTTCTCTCTCTCTACAGTCAATAAAAACATATCCTCAGGTGAGGATTAAAATATATTCCATGTATACAAACATAAATACATAAAAATACAAATGTATATGTGCATTATTGGGTGTAAGAGGGCCTGAATACTGCTCCAACACTGACCTGTGTGACCTTGGGCAAGGCACTCTTAGGAACTCAGGTCCTCTTTGCAAAATGGGAGGGTGGAAGAGGCGATAAAAACACCAGTGTCAGCGTCAGGCAGACAGATGTGACAGTGCTGGGTGAGTAACTGAGTGCCCTGCAAATACCAGCTGGGGTCATCATCTCAAATTGTGGTTTCTGTGGTTACTCAGTAAATCTTAGATGAAAGAAAGAAAGGAAGGAAGGAAGGGAGGGAGGGAGGGAGGGAGGGAGGGAGGGAGGGAGGGAAGAAGGAAGGAAGGAAGGAAGGAAGGAAGGAAGGAAGGGAGGGAGGGAGGGAGGGAGGGAGGGAGGGAGGAAGAACGAGAGAGGGGAGGGGAGGGGAGGGGAGAGGGGAGGGGAGGGGAGGGGAGGGAGGGGAGGGGAGGGGAGGGGAGGGGAGGGGAGGGGAGAGGGGAGGGGAGAGAGGAGAGCCGAGGTCTGTCTGTGTTAGGTGCCAGAACCTTGCAGAGGGAAAAAACAAGAACTTGCTCTTGAACTGAGAACAGGCTAGTGAATAAAAAGAAAACGGAACTAGAAGAAAAACAAAACACAAAAAACTTGCAATATAATGTGGTAAGGGTCAATCTAACATATGCTGGATTCAAATATGCACAACTTAACTTCCCCATAAGAGGACGAAGGTTGGGTATATATAGTTTGGGTAAATCAAAGTTCTCAAATTAGTTAGCAGACACAAGTTTAAAGCTCCAGACGATCTTTTACGGGTGTTTAGTACAAAAATGGGGGGACAAAGTGTGTGTGTGTGTAGTTTTGTCCACAGCCTTTTGCTTAGACCCATTTTTGTTATTGATATTTTAATTCAACAATTTCTTAATGTATTAATTTTCCAATAGAATGTAATTAAATCAATTCCTGTTTAACCAAAAGAAACCCAGAATAGTTAGAACAGGGAGCCAGCCCCTGCTGGCTGGAATGCAGACTGCAAGGAGCAAGCCCAGGATGCTGGGATTAGGGGAGATCCATCCATATACTCTGTTTACACAATTATTCCTCCATAAAGACCATGCACAGCCAAGTTATTTAGTCTTCCATAATTAAGCTTTCTTTTTCAGTTTATTAAAAAATCAATTTTTTAGAATTATTAATAACAAATTGGTTTTTATTTGTTTAGTTTTCCATGTCCCTATAATGAATTTATTCTCCACTATCACCAAAAGTGTACATTTTTCCTCTATTCATCTCATTTTATTTCTTGGGGACATCCATTCTGGTGCCTTCTGTCCTCCTGCCCCAATCCTGACTGATCGCTCTCTAAGCCAGGCCGTCTGTCACCCTAGGATTTCCCTTTGTCATCATCTTGGGGATTCTCTTCATTTCTCACCTATGTTGAATATCCTGTTTCTAGGACCACATGTCTTCCTGTTTCTTAGTTTATTCTCTCGTTTTGGTGCACCACATCCTCCAGTAGTTTCCTGAGAAAGGATAGATGGGTAGGAAGTAAAATTTTCAAGATTTCATATACTTAAAAAAAAAAAAAATTTCATACATCTGAAAATGTGCTTACTTTACTGAATTCACAATTTGGCTGATTCCTAAAATTATAGGTAATAATTTGAAAGCATCCTCCACTGTCTTCCAGTGTGGCCGAGGAGCGTGGCACCGTTCTGACCTTTGCTCCTTTTCATGCGGCCTGTGTTCTCTCTGGAAGATTTTTAGTAACTTTCCTCTGTGTACTCACTGAGCTGAAATTCATTTGTTTTTCATCCATTATGTGGGCCTCTCATTCTGGAGATGATTTCAGTTCGGAGATGATTTCTTTTTTTCAAATGTTTTTATTGATGTCAAAGAGGAAAGGAGAGGGATAGAAACATCAACGATGAGAGAAAATTATTGTCAGCTAGTTCCTGCACACACACCCCTCGCCCCCCACTGGGGATCAAGCCCACAACCAGGGCATGCGCCCTGACCGGGAATCAAACCATGACCCCCTGGTTCATAGGTCAATGCTCAACCACTGAGCCACAGTGGCTGTGGCTGGGTCTGAGATTATTTCTTGAATTATTCCTTCAATGATGGCCTTCCCTCCAATTTTCTATTTCTCTAGAACTCTCCTTAGTTAAATGTTAGACCTCCTAGGCTACCTCTAGCTTTAAAAAATATTTTAATGCCTATTTTTCAGGGTGCTTTTTTTATGATATTTCTTTAATTTTATCTTCCAACCCTTTGAAGTTAGTGGTTATCATATTTTATTTAAAAAATTTCTTTTTAGCCCTAGCTAGTTTGGCTCAGTGGATAGAGCGTCAGCCTGCGGACTGAAGGGTCCTGGGTTCAATTCCAGTCAAGGGTACATGCCCAGGTTGGGGGCTCCATCCCCAATAGAGGGCATGCAGGAGGCAGCCAATCAATGATTCTCTCTCATCATTGATGTTTCTCTCCCTCTCCCTTCCTCTCAGAAATCAATAAAAATATATTAAAAAAAATTTTTTTCCACAAGCAATAGGATGGTGAAGGCCTGGGGCAGGGGATGCAGGCAGACTATACGGGGTCAAAAAAAGGGAGGGGTGTCAGCCCTGGTTTGTGACACTTGATCAATTTCTGTGGTGTAAATACTCCCACCTTGGCCAATTTTGAGCTACTAATGTGATGTCACTAAATGCAGATTTGAGAAATGTACATAACTGATTCTCCCAGCTGGTACCAGGACACTGGCCAGCTTTAGCACACCACTCCAGAAAGGAACAAAAGTGATTAAGATGTTCTGTTCTACATCTTGATTGTTGGTGGTAGCATGGGTTTATACATTTGTCGAAATGTATCAAACTGTATCCTTACATGTTTGACACATTTTTTGAAGTATAACTTATATGCAATAAACAATTGATTATAATGTTTCAGATACAATATTAGCAACAACCAAAATGCCCAATCAAGGACTGGTTATGTTAGTTTTACAGACTATGATGCATCCACTGAAACAATTCAGGAGATTTTTGCAAAATGCTTTGCTCTATTCTGTCAAAAAGGAAATTTCATTTTTTACCATGTGTTTGCCTATGCAAATTCTGTAGACCAATGGAGAATGTCTGACTTATTTTACAAATTGGGTTTTGTTCTTTGCATTTAAAAGTAGCAAGATGGTGGAGCCCAGATTCTGCAGCTGGACTGCCTGGTTAGGGTTCAAATCCCAGTGTTACTCCCCAGTGAGGTGACTGGTGCAACTAACCTAACCTCTTTGAACTTTAGCTTCTTGACTCTAAAAAGGGCACAAAAATAGTACCTATCTCATAGGGTTGTTGTGAGGATTAAATGAGTTAATAAATGTAAAGAGCTTAGAACAGTACAAAGAGTGTGAGCTTTACAAATAATAGCAATGATTTCCATGAGGCAATGATACTGTTTAGACAACAAAAATGCTCCCTATGTGCTAAGCATTTTAGGGGATACAGAATTTATAAGACAAGGCCTCTGACTTCAAGGAGCTATTGCAGTGGTTCTCATCTGCTTCTTTTTTTGATTAATCCTCACTGGAGGATATTTTTTCCATTGATTTTGAGAGAGAGTGGAAGGGACAGAGTGCGGGAGAGAAAAACATCAATGGGAGACACACTGATTGGCTGCCTCCCACACGTGCCTTGATTGAAAATCAAACCTGAGACCCTCCTGTGCACGGGCTGATGCTTTACCACTGACCTCCACCAGCCAGGGTGGGTCTGGAGACATTTTTTTTTTGTCAGGAGAGGGGTTTGCTACTGGCATCTAGTGGGTAGAAGCCTGCTAAAAAGAATCCTGCAATGTACAAGAAAGGCCCCAAAAACAAATTATTTGGTCCAAAATATCAATAGCACCAAGGTTGAGAAACCCTGAGTTAAAGTCTATGGGGATAAAAGATGTGTGTGCACACAGATGTGAAATAACAGAAAAAAAATATGTATTAGTGTCTGTCCCCAGTTCCTAGCACAGAGCTCCTAAAACCCGTAGTTTCCTAAGTGGTAAGAACACTAGGAGCCTCTCCCGATGTAATATTTGGTGTGTTTTTTGTTTGTTTTGTTTTTAAATTTCAGAGAGGAAGGAAGAGAAAAATATCGATGAGAGAAAAATCATTGATTGGCTGCCTCCTGCATGCCCCCTACTGGGGACCGAGCCCACAGCTTGGGCATGTGCCCCTGCCTGGAATTGAACCCAGGACCCTTCAGTCCGAAAGCTGACGCTCTACCCGCTGAGCCAAACAGGCGAGGGCTAATATTTGGTCTTTGACTCCATCGCTGACACAGGCTCCTAAAACCCTTGTACATTCCATACAACAAGAGCACGAGGAGCATGTTCTGTTCTGAGGCGACTTCGGGCGGCAGTGGATGTGGGCTGGGCACCGGCAAGACCGAGCCATAGTTAGAAGCTGAAATTTTCGGCCTGCCGCATCCAACTTCTCTAGAGAGCGGAGAGGGCCTGGAAAATGAGTTAATAACTGCACGTGCCTACAAGAGGAAGCGCCCATAAAAATTCCAATAGCAGGGAGTTCGGGGAGCTTCCCGTGGATGAGCACAGCCATGAGCTGGGAGGACGGTGCACCCCAACTTCACAGGGACAGAAGCTCCTGTGCTAGGAGCCATCCCAGATCTCACCCTCAGTAACTCTTCACCTGGCTGTTCATCTGTATCTTTTATATCTTTAATAACCTGGTAGATGTAGGTAACTGCTTCCCTGAGTTCTGTGAGCCGCTGTAGCAGGACCCAAGGAAGGGGTCAAAGGGGCATCTCATTTGTAGGCAAGTCAGACAGAGGTTGTGGGTAACCTGGGGGCCCACTACTTGTGATGCGCATCTGAAGTGGGGGGCAGTCTCAGGGGACTGAGCCCTTAACCTGTGGAATCTGAGGCTATTTCCAGGTAGTGTCAGAATTGAGTAAAATTTGGACACCCACCTGGGGTCAGAGAATTGTTTGATGGGGGAAAACCCCACACATTCTGGTGTCAGAGGTGTTGTGAGTGTAGAAGGTGTGAGAATAATGGAGACATACAAGAAGAGCTGGGTTTTCTCCAAAATGACAAAGCAGATAATGGAAACTGAGTACGTATTCAGTTAAATAAAGAAAAAAAGAACGGAAATAGAGAAGAGCCCTGGCCTGAATAGAGGATTCCCTGCTACACCTGGCCAGGAAAACAGGCCTTCGGGAGCTTTAGGTTTGGTGACCCAGTGGGCATACTTCAATAACTTTCCCATTTTAGTTTATTCTATTGGCACTTTTTAAAAAAAGGTTAAGCCAAAGTTAAAAGGTTTTTTTCTGCATTGCTCTGTGTGAAATGCCTTCCAGAGCCAGTTCAAATGTTTAGTTCATCCTATTTCTTAATGCAACCGGATAGAGTTGAACCAATTTAAAATTCTTAAAAGTACATTTTGAGGAGGGATGACAAAAATGTTACAAGGTAAATACCTTGGTTTTCATTTAAATTTGAACTTTGTTGGGAAAAATATACCAATTACTTTAATGGTGGATATAATTTGGCATTACAGGTGATTTCTGCTTAACTCTTGATGCTTTTCAAAACTTTGCCAGTGAGAAGCATGTATTACTTTGATAATCACAAAAAGAACAAAGAGAGAGGATAAAAGAGGACTGAATTACTGAAAGGAGAAAGTGGCTCAGGGTGCCTGGTCTGTCTCCAAGCTCTTTGGTAAACACGGGAGGGGCAGGAGTAAGACTCATTAAATAATCTGCTCCACCTCCCTCACCTCTCTCAGAGGCCCTGCTGGCTTAGAATTCAGGAAGCTTTTATCTCTGTGCTCTGACATTATTCCACCCTTCCTTCTGTCTGTGCTCCCATACTCAGCCCTTTCTGCTTTGGGGAGGAGGATACAATATAAAGAATCATCACCTGAGTTCAGAAAATCGTTCATAGAGTTTTGGTTGTGCCGGTGCTGCAGGGTCCTGGCCCTTACATCCTTCTTCAAACATTCTCCCTATCCCTTTTCCTGGATTAAAAAAAAATAATAATAATTAAACATTTTCTTCTGATCAAGTAATAACTACCTGTTTATTGATCATTCCCATGTCATATTTGAAATGCCCTAGAGGGTGAGGGAAATAGTAAGTTATTGTAGTCGAACGAGCAAATTAACAAGAGTACTCTAAAAAATTTTTTTTATTGATTTCAGAGAGAGAAAGGGAAAGGGAGAGATAGAAATATCAATGATGAGAGAGAATCACTGATTGGCTGCCTCCTGCACACCCCTCCCCCTGGGGATTGAGCCCACAACCCGGGCATGTGCCCTGACTGGAAATCGAACCGTGACCACCTGATTCATAGGTTGACACTCAACTACTGAGCCACACTGGCCAGGCAAGAGTCCATTCTTGAAGACAGAGGACAAGGAGGAAACTCCAGGCAGGGGATATGATCTGGCTGGACAGACCGGACCACAGGTACAAGTGGAACACTGGGAAAGAAGGCGAAGTTATAAAGTGCCTTCAACAAAGCTAGACGGTCACTTCTCACTGGTCACGAGGACATGCTGCAAGCTTAGTTACAGATACTTCTTCCATTTAACAAATATGTGAGAACCTACTATGTGTGAGGCACAATTTTAAGCACCAAATAACACAGACAAGATCCTTGCTCTCATGGAACTTGCATTCGGCTATGGGGAGACAGCAAAAAAAAAAAAAAAAAAAGGTAAGTATTGAGAGATGCTCTGCAGATAATCAAATAGGGTCCTGTCATGGAGTAGCTGTGGGAATTACCTTAGATAGGTTGGTCAGGAAAGGCCTTACAAAGTGACATCTGAACCTGAGATAGGAATAATGGGAGAAACAGCAAATACCAATGTCCTCAGACTCACAAATCATGGAGTGTCCAAGGAACAGAAAGGCTAGAGCTTAGTGAGCAAAGAGAAGAGACAGGGAAAACTAGAGAATTCTTTTACAATAATGGTCTTTCTGCTTATGGGAGTTGAAGACGAAGAGCATTCTGTGAATGTTCTCTCTTGCACTCAGTCCTCCAAATGTCATAGTCACCTCTCATTCTTCCTAATCACAAATGAGGCCAAGGAGGTCAGCCTTGCTCAGGAAGAAACAGCCTCAGGTTTAGTCTTCCCCACTGGAGGGGCGTGGTCGGGGACATCACCCTGGGAGGGAAAACACAGCTGATCACCAATTCACTTGCTGAACATACTGGGAGCACCTCCTGGCACAAGACACTTGCACCAAGCACCTCAGAGAGGCTCCGGTTCTGCTCAGGCAACCCGTTTCACAGATCCAGACCCAAAAGGTTAAGGAACTTGCTCAGGATCATACAGCAGGAAGTAGCGGAGGAAGAGTGAAACTCAGGCCCAAACCGGTTTGGCTCAGTGGACAGAGCGTCGGCCTGCGGACTGAAGGGTCCCCGGTTCGATTCCGGTCAAGGTCATGTACCTTGGTTGTGGGGACATCCCCACTTGGGGGTGTGCAGGAGGCAGCTGATCAATGTTTCTCTCTTATCGATATTTCTAACTCTCTATCCCTCTCCCTTCCACTCTGTAAAAAATCAATAGAATATATTTAAAAAAAAAAAAGAGTGAAACTCAGTTTTTCTCTTTCTTAATTTCATAGTTTTTTGTTCACCAGACATGAATATTCCTGACATTCAAAAAGTTAGAGAATAACAAATCAAAATCCATGTACTCCATAGAGAGGTTAAGAGATGAAATTTGAGCCTATCTGGTGTGGCTCAGTGGTTGAGTGTCAATCTATGAACCAGGAGGTCACGGTTCGATTCCCCATCAGGGCACAGGCCCGGGTTGTGGGCTCAATCCCTAGTACGGGGCGTGAAGGAGGAAGCCGATCAATGATTCTCTCATCATTGATGTTTCTATCTCCCTCTCCCTTCCTCCCTGAAATTAATAAAAATATATTTTTTAAAAAAGAAAAAGAAATACAACTTGAAGCCTCCTACGTACCTCTCCTCACTCTGCTAAACAATGGTCTCTGATTCCTTCCACTTGGGAGATACTGCAAATAGCATCCTAATAGGTACCAGTGCACTTCCCTCTTCTTCCAGTCACCGAGTTCAATTAACTCTGATATCTATTTCCACTATTCTTCCTACCCTTCTCCTGTCTACAAGAATCATTTCTGATCTGGATTATTACAGTGGCCTCCTAAATGGTCTCCCTGCATCTGCTCTTCCCCCTTTCCAGGCTATTCTTCATATTACAACCACTATCCTTTTTTTAAAATACATTTTTATTGATTTCAGGGAGGGAGAGGGAGAGATAGAAACATCAATGATGAGAATCATTGATTGGCTGCCTCCTGCACGCCCCTACATATGCCCTTGACAGGAATCAAACCTAGGACCCTTCAGTCCATAGGCCGATGCTCTATCGACTGAGCCAAACCGGCTAGGGCCGTGGTTGGCAAACTGCGGCTCGCAAGCCACATGCGGCTCTTTGGCCCCTTGAGTGTGGCTCTTCCACAAAATACCACGTGTGGGCGCGCACGTACAGTGCGATTGAAACTTCGTGGCCCATGCGCAGAAGTCGGTATTTTGTGGAAGAGCCCCACTCAAGGGGCCAAAGAGACGCATGTGGCTCGCGAGCCGCAGTCTGCCGACCACTGGGCCGCTAGGGCAACCACTATCCTTCTTAAAACCTTTCAACAGCTGCTCTTTGCTCTCAGGACATAGACAAAATCACTTCAGTGGCATGCGAGGTTTCACGCGGCCTTTTCCCCATTCAACACCCTCGCTTTATCTCAGCCCCTTGTTCTGCTTTAGGGGCCCCGCCTTCTTGCAGTTCCTTATAATCTCCGAGCACTCTCCTACCTCGGCCTTTGTACATACTGTTCCTTTCTGCTCCACCTGAATAACTCTCTTCCCTTTCTCAGCGAAGTTTTTCTTGAGTCCCCTGACTGTAGCATTCCTTGGTATCTGTCACTTTGGACATTTATTTGTGAGATTAGCTTCTCGAATCAGCCAGGGACCAAGAACTACTTGCTTAGTCCAAAATACACGCTAAATAGAGAATAGCCCATGTGTACGTAACATATGTAACATGCCAGGCTGTGTTCTTAGCACTTAGCATCTATTAACTCACGTAAGAACTCCCAGAAGCCTTCTGAGGTAGGTAAATTAGCATTCCATATATAAGCAAACGAAGTGACGCAAGCTGGGAAGTGGCAGAGATGGGCTAGGATGAACCCAGGTGGTCAGTTGCTAGGGTGTGCGTGCACTCCCTCACTGCGGCGCCTCCCGAGCACCTGCTGAGTGCAGGAGCGTGGGAGTTAGACAGGGACTGGACAGCGGCATCAGTAACTTCAACTGGACTAAAATTACTTCTCTCGGATCTTATGTTTGACTGGAACTTTGCTGCAAGACATTTATCTCCCCAGCGTAGTATTCCAGCGACTTTAAAAATCCATTTGCCTTCACTGGTATTAACACAACTGATGTTGAGCAGAGGCGGCGGCTCGAACCGCGGCGAGGGTGCAGGAGAAGGTTGTCCTGGAGACAAAATTGTGGATCACCTGGCGTCTGGGTAATCTACATACGGCCAATTCAAAGATTTTCATGGGCGTCACCTCCCTAAACCTTCACTGATTACTAACGAAGTTACACACACAGGGTAGGTAGTCCTTCCTCAGTTAACAGATGAAGCAAAAGGCTGGGGTTGGAACTGCTAAGCCGTCGGAAAGCAACTAGTCACAGCACCCGGTGAGGAAGGTGGTCCAGTTCTGCTTCAGAAGGCAATGATTATCTCTAGCCGAGAAAGAACTTTTCTTCCTCTTTTCTAGATTAAAGGTCGCTGGCCCACCTTTCCTAATTATGAGACGGAACCTCAGTGAGGACAGAGTTCCTCCTAGTTTCCTCAGTATGGCCAGCGTAGAGCAACGTATTCCACAAGTTCAAGCTCATGATCAAGAGTTCTATAAACTGCCTGCATCCAATTAACCCTGAAGCAATATGGTGAAAATGTAACAACTCAGACAATTCTTCACGTGCAGCCCATGTAACAATATCAGGGGAAGTAAAAAAACAAAACAAAAAACTGCACATTTCCTTTATGTGCATTTTACTAAGGAAGGCTTTCATTTTTAGTTCCTTCCAGAGCTTAGAACTAAAAAAAAAAAAAGGCTAAGAACCACGATGCTTTACACCTGTACACGATTCTTTCTGCACCTTCACAGGATGAAACAGTCCTATTCCTTTAAGTACCTGGTACATGTGGGTGGAGATCTAAGAGGAATCCGAATACCCACCCCATGTGAGTTAGAGCTTGTAACAGCACCGGCCTCAAATCCTATAAATAGGTCTAAGGGAAGTGATGATCAGTATTCACCTCCTCGAAGGGGGAAGCTGCGTGCAAGGCCAAGGGCAGTCCGGAGCGCGGGCGTCCAGTCCCGAGCAGGCCACTAACCAGCTGTGTAACCTTGCACCGGTGGCAGACCCTCTCTGGGCTTCCGTTTCCACATCTGCAAACTGGAAGTTGAACCGCGTGGTCTTCAAGGTCCTGCCCTGCCGCGAGCCCGCTGCCAAGGAGGCCCAGCCATTAAAGCAGCTTCCTGTGGGCGCGGTGCAAGCCTTGAACGCCCTCCACCCCCCGCCCCCAACCCCCCGCTCAAGCCCGCGAAACCCTCTACACGCCCCTCCGAGGGACGGCGCTTCCCCAACCGCAGCCCGGACACGGCTCCGCCCCTTCCCGGGGGCGTCCCATCCTGCCCCGCGCCGGGCTCCTGAAGCGGCGGGGCACCTCCCGCCTTTCCGAGGCCCCGACCCCGAACTCTTCTCCCCAATTCTCCCGGGCGCCCTGGCCTATCAACGTCTAGTACCCCAGCCAATCATGCGGGCCCAGAGTCTTGCCTGAGGTCCCCTCTCCGCTCAGCGCTCAGCCGGTCTGAGGCCGAGGCCTTTACCAAGCCCGCCCAATCAGCACCCAGCTCTCTCCTGCGCTCGGCCAATCCACGCACCCCATTCCGCTGCCCGCCCAACCAACCCGGGACTTGAAAGCAGCGGGCGAATGGATGCCGGGCGGCCCTTCAACGCAGACGGCTTGGCCAATAGGGGGCTCCGCATGGCCACGGCAGCAGCCAATCGACGCGGAGCGCGGTGCCGCCGCGGAGAGGTCCGGCCCGAATATCCCTCCGCCTTCCTCCCTCCCTCCATCTCGCTCCCTGCGAGCCGCCGTTCACTGACTGCCTCCCTTCCTTCTTTCTCCCTCCGCCACCCGAGCACCAGCCGCGCTCTGAGCTGCCCCCGGGGTCCCTCCCCCGCCGCCAGAGGAGCAGCTGCCGCCGCCGCCGCCGCCAGCAGCAAATTGGGAGGGAGGAAAGGCCGAAAGGAGGAAGAAAGGGAGCCAGGGCGACTAACCAGAGGGAGCCGGTGAATGGGCTGGTGGTGACCCCCGCTCCCCACCCCACCCTCCCTTCCCACCCGACCCCCAACCCCCATCCCCAGTTAGAGCCGCCGCCCCAGAGGCCGGACCGTCGTCTTAGGAGGAGTAGCCGCTGCCACCTCCGCCATGGAGCTGATCACCATCCTCGAGAAGACCGTGTCTCCGGGTAGGACGCGGGGGCCGGGGGTCGGGCTGAGGTGATTGGGTGGGGGGAAGGGGAGCCCTAGCCCCTCTGACCCTGTCCCCTTTCCCACTTTCCTTCCCCCCCAGATCGGCTGGAACTGGAAGCGGCGCAGAAGTTCCTGGAGCGTGCGGCCGTGGAAAACCTGGTGCGTGCCATCCCGCCGGCCCCCGTCCCTCTGTCTCCTCATCCCCTGCGTGCGGGCCTTCCCGCCCTCCCGGAGGCCCAGGCCTCGGGAACCCACCCCGCCCCATCCCGTCCCCCTCCCTCCCCCACCCGGTCCAACCTAACCCCGCCATCGGGAAGCCGGTGGGTGTGTCCCGCCCCGGACCCCGGCGCCTGGCCAATGGCGCGGCGCGCCGGGGTGACTGCTGGCCAATCGCCGCGCGGCCTGAGGGCGGCGGTGCAGCGGGAGGGAGAAAGAGGGAGGGAAGCGAAGTTCGGTTGCGCCGCGCTGCGTGTTCAGCAAGGGTGGGGGTGGGGGAGCCGGGCCTAGGGGCCATGTGGAGGCTCCGGGCCCAGCTGCCCGCCCAGCTCTGACCCGGGCCGGCTTCCTCCTGCCCCGTGGCCCCGGTGCTTCTCTGCACCTACTTCTCCGAGCTCTCCCCTTTCCTCTCTCCCGTGGTGTGTGTCCTCAGAGACCGGTCTGGCACCCGAATGCCTCTTGACCCTTCCCGGGCAATATTTCTGCCTTACCTGCCTGATTATTCCTTTCCCAGTTTTTTTTGTTTTTGTTTTTTAATTAATTCGATGAGTACAGAATGTGTATCCAGACAGCAGGCTGAGGCTCACCCTTAAGATGGGGCCTGTTTCCAGATGAAATCAGAGGAAAGTTCCTCGTTTTTCATAACTTCACATTTAAGGGGTACAGGATAAAATGAAGATAAGTCCCCTAGAGTCTGGACTTCTGCATAAAAACGTGGGGCGGGTTGGTTGAAATAGCCCGTGCCGGTGGTGTTTCTCTTTGGTGTCCCTCTCCTGTTGGAATGGAGAGCAAAGGGGAAGGTGTCTCATACTTGACATCTTTGAAAGGTAATAGGTAATAAGTCTAAATAACGCTAACCACATGTATTTATTTGGATTAGTTAGACAGATCATGTAAGGAGAAAATAGTGAAAAGGCCTATTTTATACAAACTGCTCTTGAGTGATTTTTTTTTTTTTTTTTGCCCTTTTATGTGATAGGTTTCATTAGTACTTTTTTATCCTTAACTTTCCATAGAAAAGATTTTTTCCACTGGTATAGATTGATAGTATTTCCACGCGGAGTATATTCCTGTTCCTGCTTTTGCTAATTTGCAAGAAGCCTCTGATGTAATTCCTAGCATTATTTAGTTGCATGTAGTTAATAAAATAATGTAAGGAGTTGCCTTCTGTGATTGCAGGACTTGTTGGTGGTAAGGAACGCTCTGCTTTTGGTTTTTCCTGTTAACTTCTCAGGGAAAGAAAAGCTTGGACAGAGCTTTTTGCAGGGTAAAGGATGTGTGCTACATCTTTTAAAAAAACAAAGGGAGTAGTGTTGGGGTTCTGTGTTCGAAAAGATTGTGCTTTTTGGGAATCCACTATGTTTAGTGGACAGCTCAAGTCCAAAGTGTATAGGAGCCTTTAGTGTGTTAACTGTTGGCTATTAAATATAAAGTCATTTGCTTTGACAGATTTACCATGACAATTTCTAAGTATTTGTCATTTCCCCCCCATCATTGTTCCCCACTTGACGAACACTCAACTAAAATAGAGGGCTTGTTTCCTGAGCCTGTTTTAGGTTTGTAAGTAATACACACTCATACAAGATTACCTGCTTCTATGAGATCAAAAGCCACTCGTGAGAGTCATTCCATTTGGACTAAGGTGGTGGTTGTTTTTTTAAGTTAGAAAAAGTTTTTACTTTTTACCCTGTCATAACATATTCATTTATTCAACAAATAAGTATTGAGTAACAGGCACTGTTGTAGGTACATTAAAAAAAAATTTTTTTCTGGCTACGAAATTGTCAAACTTGCTTTAATTCTGGGGGATCTAATGTGAAGATTTGGGCACTAAGAATGATGTTAATAGGAAATCTGTAACTTGTTAAATGCTGAGGCTGCGTGAGTAGATGGATGACTTCCTTAATGTAACATTTTTACAGGAGTCTTGAAGTAGATATTTTGGAGTTTTCTGAGGCATTATGATATGTCCTAAAAAATTTAAGTTTTTCCCAGTGTTTTGATGCTTCATAAACTATCCTCAATTGACAGAATTCCCAAGAGATATATTCATTCACCAGTGCATCTTTCTTAACAGCCCACTTTCCTTGTGGAACTGTCCAGAGTGCTAGCAAATCCAGGAAACAGTCAAGTTGCCAGAGTTGCAGCAGGTCTACAAATCAAGAACTCTTTGACATCTAAAGATCCAGATATCAAGGCACAATATCAGCAGAGGTGGCTTGCAATTGATGCTAATGCTCGACGGGAAGTCAAGAATTATGTAAGTAACTTTTGTCTCTTTTTGGTTATGTAGCATAGGGAACAAGAAAAATCTCTTGTCAGTTCTTTTATCATTTGCATGGGATAGAGTTGATGGTATAATAGGTTTCTGGTACCTAAACTTCACTTGAGGATAAAAATTGTATTTGATTTGTCTCATTTCAGCTTGTCCGTTCCCATTAATGGATTGGAATTCTTTTAAGATAACTGAGGTAGACTGCAGCAGTTTGGGAAACTTTAGTTAGATGCCAGGATTTGTAGACTCTCTGGAGAATTGCAGTATACAAATTGATGGTTCCCAAACTTGGATTAGCCAAAGCACTTAAGGAATTTGTTAGTATGTTTTCAAGCTCCCTCCAGAAATTTTGATTTGGAGTGTGAGACTCAGGGATATTTTTTAACCTGTCTTCCCAAGTGGTTCTTCTAGTCAGCCAGCACCCAGCTCTTGCTGAAATTCTGCCGTAGGTAATTCTCGCTGTTCGGTGGCTTAGGCATGCTACTCTGTGGAGTCAGGTGAATTAAATCATCTCTTGGGCCATGGAAGCCCAGAGAATTTATGAAACAAGATTGACATTAATGGTGCTTTGATCAGATATTTAGCAAATTATGAAAAACTTCCTTTAGAAACACCGGGCTTTTGATCAAGGCATTTAGAGTAGGCTGATAGATTTTGTGGAAAATTGAATGTACCTTGTTATTCTGCATCATGGAGTTCTTGTGGCTTTTTTTTTTAAATATATATTTTTATTGATTTCAGAGAGGAAGGGAGAGGGGGAGAGAGATAGAAACATCAATGATGAGAGAGAATCATTGATTGGCTTCCTCCAGCACACCCCTTACTGGGGATCGAGCCTGAAACCCAGGCATGTGCCCTTGATCGGAATCGAACCCAGGAGCCCTGAGTCCAGAGGCCAACGCTCTATCCACTGAGCCAAACCAGCAAGGGCTTCTTGTGACCTTTTTATTGTTGTATTAGAAATTCATATTTTTAGATGTAGCAAAATTTGGAATATATGGACAGATGTGTTTCGCTTTTTAAAAAAAAAATAATGGAGCTTTTTTTTTTACTGTCTGTTCTACATATATAAGGCACAGTGTGAGTAAGTCACGCATCATTGGTCCTTGGTATTTGAGGGAAAACTAGTGGGGGATTCTTGTGTGTGTACTTGAGCAGGTATGGTTATGCACGTCATATTTGCCATTTCTTGGTTCTAGGTATCAGCATTAGATAAATTAACGCCCCTTTTTGCAGTAAGTTCTCTTCCTCGTTATATATGTCTTTCTCCAGTCTGGCATGGATATATCCATGACAAGGAATTAAGTTATGAAAGGCAACTTATTTTGTATAGTCTTTAAAATATATAGAACTATTTTTATGCACATTGGGTCTGCTTATGTAGTAACATTTTAATCCACTCTTCAGAAGTTTGATATAAATGTTTACTTCATCAATCACTGCAAAACTTTTTAAAAAATATATATTTTATTGATTTTTTACAGAGAGGAAGGGAGAGGGATAGAGAGTTAGAAATATCGATGAGAGAGAAACATCGATCAGCTGCCTCCTGCACACCCCCTACTGGGGATGTGCCCACAACCAAGGTACATGCCCTTGACCGGAATCGAACCTGGGACCCTTCAGTCCGCAGGCTGACACTCTATCCACTGAGCCAAACCGGTCAGGGTAATCACTGCAAATCTTGATTCCTATACTGTAGCACCCAAATTGAGAAAAGACATAATTAGAACTGTAACTGATGTATTTGTTATTTTTAAAATTTTTAT